TCTTGTAATGACAGGATAGAGAAGAGATTGGTAAGATCAGAATTGAAAAGTGAGTTGGAAGTGTCTGGTGAGTGTCTGCAATTCAGTTGTAGAATTGAAGCCGTGTCAGGTAAGGTAAGTTTTGTCCGAAGGTGTTGTTCTAACATTGTAAGTTAGGTTCAACGGCTTCTTGGACAATCACGATCTTTGGTGATCCACTGGGGTTGTGAGGCGGGAGAGCTTCGGCGATGCGTGTTGCGCACAGAGGGCTGAAGGGGGAATGTAGGAGGTCTTGGTTGGCAGAATCAAAAATCTGCCTGATTGACTTGGTGGGGTCGAGTTTATGTAAGGTTCTTACACATGCCGTGCACCTCATAGGAGTTTCTCCTTTTCTTGGGACAGGCATGGGCGTGGTGCTCCTCTCCGCAGTAGGGGCACCTTGCTTTAAAGTACATGATGGAGCGGTGTGCCCCGGTTTCCTGCAGTTGTAGCAGCGTTTTGGGGGTCTCTACCTGGTTCAGTTCTGTGAAGACCCCTCCCGAACCACACCTTTTCCCTGACACATTTGTCAGCGGGTGGTTTTGTGTTGAAGCCTATCAATAGAGTTGAGTAGCGTTTAGATGGGTCATCTTTCAGTTTAGGGTTAAGCCACCTTACAAAGGTGGCATCTTGTAGGAGGTCGGGGTTGGAAGCAGCCAGCTCCTCCACATGACTCTCAATCTCGGGATCGAAGGAGGTCGGGATGGCATGGACGAGCACAGTATAGTGCTCCGGTTTTATCTGAAGAGCTGTGGTTATGGCCGGTAGCCATGTTTTTTCAGTTTGCCGAATCTTTTCAGCGTGCGCCGCACTTTCTAAGTGTAGGACCAGATCGTTAGACGGGTGGCGCTGCACCGTCTTCACAGTTATTGTGGCTTCGGACGACTCATCGGTCTTCAGCTTATGGAGTCAAAAGGCATTATTAAAGCCTTGTATCAGTTGGGTGACGGTCAACGAACCCAGCACAGCTTGGGTTCTGTCCGTTTGTACTAAGGTGACCGTATTGGTCGACCTTTTCTGGGTGGGGGTTCTGGAGTTGGGGCGTGGTCTTGGACTTGGTCCTGTACCAGCTGCGGGGGAGGATGCTGCTTTGGCGGCGTAAGAATTGGCGTTTGATCCGGCCGTTTGACGTTGGGTGCTCTTATTCGAAAGAGCTGGTAAGGCTGATACAATGAGCAAGACCTTTTCGCTTAGTTCATCAAATTTCTCGGTGAGCGAGTGAATTTGGAAGTCAGAAGCTTTATCAGAGCTCGGTATTGGGTTCAGCAACGGCGCAGCCGCCCTGGTTGGGGCATGAGAGGCTGGACACCGG